TCAGTAAGCCCTCATTCTACTCGAGACATAACTGTGTGGTACTCGAAGGATAGCAGTATATTTTTCGGGTACCCCATTCCCGAATCGAATGCAATTCGGATGTCCAAGAAGGCGACGATGGTATGCTGGTGCCAAATTTGACGCTGCTCCAGATGTTGGCGGAGCGTAAACATGTGGTCTGCGCACCTTCGACCGGGGCGGAGAACCGCCTGTCCTTCCCCGAGTTTTTTTCCCGAATCTGGGTGAGTCTGCATAGTAGAATGGATGTTAAAAATTTGCGGACGACGTATATTAGTTTGATTTCTCTCTGCTTGGCGCATAAGTGACGAGCATTGATGTTAAAAATCGGGACGATAATCGACTCGCCCCAAAACGGAATCTTTTCCTCACACCAACTCTTGGAGAACAGAGCTGTTAACTAGTTGACAGTCGCTTCACCAACGTACTTGAGTTGTTTCGTATGAATTCCGTCTGAGCCAGTGGCCTTGAATTTCTTCAAGTCACGAAGTTCAAGGCAAGCCTCCGCTTCGGCGAGTGGTTCGAGTGAAACGTTCCAAAGCGCGCGATTAGTCATATCCGTCAGACAAGCAGAAGAGGGAGCCAACTGAATTGAGAGTGGAAGTACACAGTCCAGCGGCACGTGCACTTACGCAAATTAGTGATCCACTGACTGACGTCAGGTCTTCTGTAGTTAGTATTCTGAATGATATGGCAAAACTTACAAAGGTTTCCAGAGAGCTGCTCTCTCTAGCTCTGAAGTGCACAGAGGCCACCGAGTTTCACGATCATTACGCAAGCTTTGCTTGAGTTGTTGGCTGAGGTTGCGGTGGACTTCACTGTTGCTTGAACCAGCTAAAGTGCTTCGGTGCTAGGCCAGCCTGCTGACAGTAGTAATGAAAATCGGTGTCGAAGGAGGGCCACTGTGCCGACTCTTTGGGCATCGGCGAGACTAACATTAGAATTACATTCAAGGAAATGTGAATTGCTAACGGAGACAAGTTTGGCGTGTGTGATAGAGGTGTGTGTGAGCAGTGAATAAAGCAGGAGAGAGACGTAGTACCATTTGCGAAATCCATGATTCTGTCAGAAAGCGGGATACGACCCGGTTGCCCAAGCCGAAGTAGGGAGTTGTCTTTTGAGACACCACTCCGAGCATTTGGTTGATAATGCAAGAGTAATGCTGCGAAAGAAAAAAGGCCACAGCAGTACGTCGGTGCATCGTACTGGTGCTTCGCGATCCCCATTAGTCGCGCATAGGCTAGTGGAACTTGGAGATCGTCCTCGAACCGGATTACAAGGCGGACACCTTATGCCAACCGGCCACTTGCCGATAATATTAAACTGTGAAGTAACACGACTATCTCACTTCAGGTTTAAAACTGCTAGCACTTCGTTGTGTGCATTCCAAGCAGTCATTCTTGACCTCTGTCACCATATAATTAATCTTCACTCACTTTGGTATAACACACACATTAACGGTGATTTACCATAGCTGTGCTCGTTCACGAAGCGAATATATGGCGGGAGTAAATGGCACTTTTGTCTGTGCACAACCTTTAGCATCAAGTTGAACGGTGTGCCTCAGTCTGGTGAGATGCACCACCACAGATGATCGTCCTCATTGCCAGTTGCAAGCATTTGTGCACCTTCAGTCAAATCCATCTTCAGTGAGCAGTAGAGGGATTTATTGGGTTTTTGGTGAAGATTTGTCGCATCTATACTTAGGCAAGCAGCCACCACACATCCAGGAAGGTACTAGACTCCTGTTTCGTGCTATTGGGACTCTTCAGTAGCGCACATCCGCCGGATTCGAACCCATGACCTTACTGTTGCGAGCCAGTGACTGATGCCACTGAGCCATGGGTGACGGCAGCGGACCACTGTGACTGATATCTAGCTGCGATATAACGCGGCTCATCCTCCACTGTCATGCATGTTATGAATGTGCAGAGGATAAAGATGGCCTCAGAGTAACAACTTCCCTTGCAATCAATCCATCCTTCCATCGATCTGCATAACGATTAACCTGCCAGTTATCTCAGTGCAAGTCGATTTATCCTACAAGAGAGGTCCGGGCCACTTAGTCTGCTACTAGCATCATAGGACATTCCTGCTCTCTTCAGTACAATCACTGACTTACGAGAACCTCTATAGTTACGGCAAATGACAAGATTCGCATTAACCGTTTGCAATCCAGGAAATTTGGTACAGAACAACCGCTTGAAACTATCGTCAAGGTTCGTTTATATGGATGTTATCACCCATAATGGTCGAGTCGCGAATTGTGGTGCTGTGTGTATTGGCAGGACTTATGTGACTTTTACTAACGTTATTTCTCTGTCGAGAACACCAACTACTAGATCGCTGTTTAGCGGCGGTGTACAAAACCTTTCGGTGCGATTAACCCTGTTATATTGATTTAGACCATGAAAATAATACCAACTCCGCAATCGTTTTTTAGACTACTTTCTCCTCCATTTTGCACATTTTTTTTATCGATGCAGCAAAAATTAATATATTTGGCTTACTACACATCGGTTATCATCATCGTCAACAGCAGTAGATCAGCTATTTAAACTGATGCTTCGCTGCCATACAACCATAACGACCTGCGATACAAACAATAATAAATGGGGAGAAGTGGGATTAAACGGAAAACCTTAATGCTGTAAGCAAACATTCTGGGTCAAGGCGCTTACACCTTATGTTAGCAACGTGCCATCACAAACAGCTGGCTATCGTGCAAAGATAAGGCGGCATCAGCGGGACAGCTTACTTGCGACTTTCACTTCCACGCGACATAATCAGCCATTATTCCGCAAATAACTCAACCCCAAACACACTTTAAACAGGCAGTCAGACCAAGAGATGACAGTAGACATACCACTGTTGCCGGCTGCGAGCCATGTCCTCTATTCTCAAGCCAAGCACAAAGTGAGTCAAGTGGGTTTCAGCCTTGAAAGCGATACAGGCCGACGGCACCGAGTTTGGTTGCCATTGATTTTATTCCGCGCTGTCAAGTCAACTTCTGTCTACCTCGAACCTTGTGCCACCCTACATCTGGCAGATAAAACAAGACCCTCCTCGGCAAGCAATGACCGAACATACGTAGTACGTACCAAAGCCAACGCAGCTTGTTCAGTGCTGTTGCTCTAAACAAGTAGCTTGGTTATCATTGCTTAGTATTCGCCTACGCACATCATTGTTGCGAACATGCTGGCGCCACCCAACACCAGCAATGCCTCGCCGACAACGATGCTCAAAGGCTTAAAGTTGCCTCAGTTCCTCAAACTGAAGGGGCCAAGTCTCATTTCTATAGAATAGGACGGCCCTCACTGTGGCCTTGCAAACAGTCTTTTAGACGGAGGGAACCCCTTTTTGACGCCACAAATGTCGCAGATTCAAGAAGGTAGTTCTGGCTTTTGCAATACGTGAATTGTCTTCAGTTGCTATGCGCCTATCATTGCTGATACAGCTGCCAAGGTAAGTGAGGCGATCACCTACCTCGAGTTCCTCGTCATCAAGAGTCAAGGAGTCATCAGGTAGCTGGTGGTCCTGCAGCAAAACTTTACACACTGAAGGTGCGAAGCGCACACCAAATAATGGGACCACTCTACACGGGCTAGTCGGGGTTGATTGTGCCGCCGCAACATCGTTAAAAAGCAGGATAATCTCGTTCGTATAATCAAGATCAACCAGCCTTTCATCAGGCGCACGTCAACGCTTGCATCGTGAGGCTCCGCAAGGGAATCCACAACGAAGGTAAAGAAATATGGGGAAATTGGACAACCCTGACGAACGCCACTTGTTGTCGGCAAGGCAGCTGGTAAATCACCGTAGACGCTGACGTGGCTTGTAGTGTTCGAGTACAGGGAATGTAAAATGTTCACATCTTTCATGAGAACACGTTTCCGCACAAGTATTTCGAACTGAATCCATCGATCGACTGAGTCAAACGCACTCCCGAAGTCGAGGAACACAGTCATTTTCGGTGTGCGGTACGCGTGGTGCTGCTCTAGCACCCGCCTCAAAGTAAATATGTAATCTATACAGCCCCGTCCTTGACGGAAACCTATCTGCTTTTCCATACTCCTGGATTTCCGTTTCGCAGTTAGGTGACGAACAAGGTTTGAAGTTAGTAATTTTGTCACCACTTGCATTAGGCTAATATCCCTCTGGTTTGCACAGTCGATGCGATTGATTTTCTTGTATAGCTACACGTCTGTGCTCGGGGTATGGTTAATTAACGACTGAATTGCATGAGATACAGATAGAAATGTGCCAGGTGTACAATAATAAGGTAGAATGGCAACTGACGCGCTTGAGAATATACCATTGTTATCTTGACTGTGAGCAGATAAGGCAATTGTTAATGTAATATTCCTCCCTTGCGAATAGTACAGTAGGTCGTAATAGACCGTTAGAGCTGCAACAATATAAATACCTCTTAGACGGCTGGATGCTCGTATGACAACCGCCTAGTAAGACGCCGATGTAAAGAAGGCAGCGAAGGAAGCATGTAAGAGGGGAGGAAAGCTGCCGGAGAGGAATAAAAAGTTAAGGCTGAGGAAGTAACGCACACACACAACACACTTGTTACAATGACGCCAGTGGACCGACGACCAATTAGACCAAAAGTCGGCTGTAGTTAGACACCCACATACGGCATTAACACAAGCAAAACCTCCTGACATTATTCCGCGTACACGTGATGACAAGCATAGTTTACGACGCGGGATTGTTGCACTTGTGGTCAAAAATGCCCATGTACATCAACGAGAACATCGTCCACATACATAGGGGAGAAATAACCGGAGAGTCTGTGTTTTGGAGCGTTGTGATTGTTTGCCAACTCAGGAATGTATTACGAGGATCGCACACATTTTTTCGTAACAGGCTTGTACACATCGGAGTACTTTCCACAGAACTACTAGGCTATGTACTAAACTGACCTGTTTTGTCCGCTGATATTTTTTAAACGTTATCATTTTCTACTCTAGCGGAACAGCGATAATGCACTGGAACTAGTGGACAATCACTACACTCGTGCACTACCCAACGAGGTACGGTCGTTCGTCGAAGCGCAGCGCAACATTCCAGGATTTTTTGCAGCTTTAACGCTTTCTTATCTGCATCAGGACACCATGTTAATGTGATGCTTTGTTTGTATTTTTGTGTATCCAGTCCTTATTTTGTATATAGATTCAAAAATTTGTATATAAATTCATCCACTTTCTACCGGCCGCGCATCGTCTGGAAGTGTGCATGTCGCCCGTCAGATCTATATCACTATAAAATGCTAGTCTATGGTCTGGATCCAACAGTGTGTCGCCGAGTGACACTAAACCACGCCCATGATATACCGATTTGCCTTTTCTCACTGAAGCAAACAGTATGTCCAGAATGTGGTCGCGCATTTCGGTTACTCCGTAGCCGAATGACGAATTTAATACCAGATCACCAAGTGTCTATGGAAATTTGATGATAAATTTTGTCAACACCGTCGACATTTATGGTCAGAAATTTATTTGGCCTCAATCTTTTGGACTTCGTACCGGTAAGTTTCCTAGGTCGTGATAATAATTGCGACGGTTTTAGCAGTAGCAACAGTAGCAGTGGCAATGGGTGCAGTTGAACATACATAAAGCAAGGTCAGCTCATCCAGTCAACTTTTTCTGAAGGTTTAACGTATTGGATAGACCGAGCCTGAGAGCAAAATAATAATTAGATTCAAGCTGCAGTTTGCTGTCTTCACAAAATATGCAAACACCATCGAGCATCGCCGTCAAACTGAGCACGTGTTCTCACACCAAAATAGTACGCTTGTTTAGGAACTGTTAAGATGGCAGTGTTCCACCCAAAATGTCTATTTTCATCGAACGATGCCAACTACTTAGTGCACAAAAGAGGGTCGGTTGGGACAGGAGGAAACAGGCAGCTTGAACAAAAGAGCGAGAGAAGGCGGACCATCATAAAATGCAGGTCACCGTTGGCACCCTTACTGTGAGCACTGCATATTTGAGCTGGTTCCTGCGAGTGGAAATAATGGGAATTCAAAACGTAGGATTAAATTCGAAAAGGGATGCATATCCGTTCTTTGGAATGAATTATATATATATATATATATATATATATATATATATATATATATATAGCCTGTTAACAGACATTGTGCCATCAGAACCACAGCAAAAATAAAAAATGGTGAAAATAGAAACACGAAATGCGGTTTTAAACAAATTAAAAAACTTTTGCTTTTACACACTTTTGCGGCTGTCATTGCCTGCCTATACTTACTCCTTTAATCGTCGTCTATTAGCGCTAGATGCCCGACCTGCCTCTTTCCTACTCCAACGTGATTTGAAGGTTTAGGCTATCTTCTTTTCAGCAACCCAACCCTCAATACACACGTATCAGCTGTCTGCGTCCCTTGAACTGCAAACATCTTTTACTTATGCTTCCGTAGTGAGCCCTCTCGGAATTCGCTAAACAAATGTTTGTAAGTGAAGCAAGACGCCCTTCATGCAACCCACGGCAGAAAGATTACTTCGAAGGGTGTGTAGATAAGTGTGGTGATGGCATTTGTAGATAGGAAAAACGAAGTTACATCCCCAGCACCACGGTATTCCCACACCGCTTCAAAAAGGGATCCAGACAAAACGGCTGGTCCCGCCACGCGGTTGGACACTTCCTTCCACATGGAGCCTAACCAGGTTAAGTCAAGAATTCGCTTTTATGCACTAGGGAAGGGTGAAATTGCAGCTGTAACACACGCGGTCGAAAAAGTAAAGAAAAACAATAAAATACATGCAAACACAGTAAAATAACGGCGATTGCATCAGTGTTTCATGTGTGGTACAGGATCAGTAATATAATTTGCTGTTTAGTTCTCGAATGATAATATTCGGATCAAGCAGAAATCTAGCTAGATAAGGTATGACGAGCCGTAAGCCCGCGTGCGGGCATTTATGGCTCCGTAGCTTTATCGCGTTGAGGAACTAGATTTGCACTTGGATAAAACGCTGATATCAGTGAGTTTTTTCGAAGCAAGTTTTGCGCATGAATTAACGTTAGCAGATACAATGTGTTGAACTAAGGTTGGTTTAGAAATGCCACTGCATCGAGATATGTGTTTCAGTGACCTATTAAGTAGTTTGAAATGCTTACCCAATAGACCCGAAAAGATCACAGTAGGTCCAGTGTGGTAGAACACATGCACTGATGAATCGCAGCACCGACTGGTGGGAGACAGGGTGAACGAAGACGTGAGACCCAAAAGGACAGTCGCCTGACTTTGGCGAACACTTCACGTGAGTTGGCCATGGTTCAGTGTGATTCCCAGATACTACACTGACGTCAAGAAGCTCACGCTTTCACCACTGGTGTGGAGTTGGGGCAGTCAGCGACGAGTGTCTGGTAACGATCTGCTTTATGCAGCGAAAACAGTACATTATTGCACTTGGAAGCATTCAGTGTTAAGCCGCGGAAGTTTGACCAATTCATGATTTTAAGTAACCTTGTAACATGGTCGAAGAGACATGTTAGATGATTCGCGCCGATTAATAAGTCATCGGCGTATTTTAGCATTCTGGCTTCTTCAGGGACAGGGAGGGAGCCAAACTAGGTAGAGGATAAAATGGCTCCTTGAAGGACACCAGAAGTAGTGATGAGGCAAGGAGCTCCTGCCGTTGAACCTGGTTATCTGAGTACGTTTGTAGCAAGAAGGCTTTGGATGGTTGGATACCAGAAGCCAGGAGATTTTGCAATAAGATTTTACGGTTAACGCAACTGAAGGCGTTGGTGTAGTCAAGGGATCATACACCTATGACTTTGTTCTTGCTGTCTAGCGACGATAGTACTAAGCGCACCAGACAAGCCACTGCGTCTTGTGTTGACCTCGAACTTCGATTTGCAAATTGATGTGCGTCATTCAGACAGGATTGAGTTGACAATTTTTCAGGAATGCATTCCTCGAATACCTTCAGAGCCACCGAAGTGCACGCAATAGGTCGATATTTACCTGTCGCTTTCATCTGTATTGGTGTTATGCTAGCAGCTCTCCAACAGTGCGATCTTGCCTTGATTTAGGCACATTGTGTACAACTCAGCTAGCGGTTGGGCTAGTGAATCTGCACACTCCATAAGGATGAAGGGAAACAAGAGGTCAGGTCCGTTTGATTTGCTTGAGTTTAGTTGGGTAAGATTCCCGTGAAGTGCTATAACATCAACAACTAGCGATGAAACTGTAGGCCACTAAATCTGTGCAACTGACAATTTGGGAAGTGAATCACTGCTGGAGCAGCATAAGTTGTGATTTAATTCTTCGATGTTTATGTCAGAGTTCGTACTATGACGAGCGAATCCACTAAATTATTTCATCATCTCCCGAATCTCACGGCAAATATTATTCCCCAGAATTGTCTGAACGTAGGCATGATTGAGGCCGTGAATTTCTTCCCTGATGCGTAGAGAAAGAAACTTTACCGAGGCACGATCTTTAACTTTGAAGACTCTCTCCTTAAGTCGACACAGCTGCTTGAGGAGAACCTGTCAGCACGAATGAGAATAGTTTCCATCGGACAGCAGTGATCGAAACAGAAGTTCAGACAACCTGTCACAATATGTCGAGATATCTGTATAGAAAAACAAACTAAAATCTGTAGGGGCAACCATTTCCTTCAGTTGTGCTATGTTTAGGGGGATTGGTTTGCCTCCGTTAAATTGTACGATCCTTGCAGCGAGTGACTTCCTTGTGGTTCGTCTTGCTGTAGACGACAAGAAGTAGCTTGACTATCAAAGCATCAGGGCTTCCGAGTACTGACGGAAAATATCTTCAGGTTGTTAACAAACACTAAGTCCAGGGTTGCTTCTAACCTGTTGGGGCATTTCACAATGTTCTCTAGTCCAAGTGTTGTGAGAAATGTCATGTCAAACCTATTGAAATCACCAGCAAATATGCATAGGGGATGGTCGATGTGTACAGCCGTGAAGTCATCTTAAAATTTGTCTACTTCTGAGCTTAGACAACTGGGGGATATATAAATGTTGACTAGCAAGATTGAGCTGCACTTTAGAATTAGGTAGTCGATACGCTGCGACGAATAGCAGAACATTTTCTTTACTGATGAGCACTAGGGAGCGTTAACAAGGGTGATAATACCACCACCCCGGTTGCGGAACCTGCATGGGCGATCAGCACAGTGGAAAATAAAGCCCTCAACTGCTACAATAGCGTCTTCAACATCTTTGTGAAGCCAGGTTTCCTGTAGCATAATCACTCCTAGCTGCGCGTATTCGCGACAGTAGAGGTTGCTCTTAAGGTCTTCATTTTTACAATAAATGAGCGAACGTTGGTGCTGAGAAAAATTGGTATATCATACTCGACAAATTTTTCTTCCGCAGAACAATCCTCCATCTAGCACGATGCTTCTTGGCAAATTTATTACGTTTTGTGTAGATTTTTCTCACGTTGCTTCGGATACATCTGTGTATGCCACTTGCGCGGAAACGCATAACGATTTCAAAATTTCATGGCACTAATCGTAGATAGAGTAGTAGGTGAGTAAAACAGTAGGTTTATAAATGGTACTGTTGAAGGCGCGAGTGCTAGTAATTTCTTGAAAGAGGAACGTAGAACACGGCCAAATTTGTAGGCCCCACCTAAATCAATCGATGTTATTCCAGCATTGATAGCCTTAAAGCTTCAGTTATCTTCCCATGTGTTTACGCAGCGCTGTCGGAGTGAAGTGAGCCAAAGGCACGATCTTTGAGAAACGTTTTCAATCCCAATCTGTGGCTTGAATAAGGCGGTTGTTTCACCTCGGCTTCCAAATTCTTGTCAGTTTTGATCTGAGAACTTACCATCATCCCTGCTCGTTGGATTTCACTGGTAGCTGCACGTTGGCGGTTGATTGCGGATGCTCTAAATTCGGCTGCCTCAGGCTATTCTGTCACTTCGATAGTATAGCAAAGAGAAGACACTGAACAGTGATCTCTGTCTCGCATGCATCTGACAGAAATCGCGCGACTTCAATAGAGCGAACTCACCCAATTGTGTACGAATGCCATCCAATGTTTTTGCAGTTTTCATACTTCGGGTGTACTTCACAGGAAAGCGTCTGATGGTGTCAGATTTGTCGGTCAGTGTGGTCGCCCAGCTAGTGCACCCCTGCTGATCAAAGAAATATGGATCCAAATGTTCACGAATACGATCGGTATAGAAAGGATGGTCTTGGAGAC